TGGGACGGCAACCTTCTATTTACCGCTCCACCCCCCCCCCCCACCTTGTCAATTCATTTTTGACAGTCTACATTTCATGCATGATTTCATCAATTTCATGTACATTTGGGCAGTACTGGCAGTACGTCTTCGTGTGTTTAACGTTTTAAAGATATTTTCTTAAATTTTCGCTGTGTTATTTCTAAGTTTATTGTTATTATACTGAATAGTGAGTGCTAAGATGGAGCGGAAGACAAAGTCAGGACATAGCTGCATTTACAGTGAATGTAAAAATATCTCGACAGTGAACAAAAACAAACGTTTTTTTAGGGTACCAAAAGACGATAACAGGCAAGTAATATTAATTTAAAAGTAGAATCTACTAGCATAATGGTAAATTAAATAATAAATTTTATTCAAACACTCATCACAGTTGCTGTTTTGGTTGTTTTTTTTTTCTAACCTAACAATTAATAGAACTTATAATTTATAACATTTTGCATGCATACTTCATCATGATTAAAATGTATTATGATTTACTGTATTTCTATATTTTGATTCTAATGTTCCATCTACCATATGATCTGAAAAAACAGTGTCAAGTTGGCTTGGAAAAACGATTGATGTCATTTACCATAAGATTTTACATATTAAATATCAGCAATTTTTGTTCCAAACCATTTCTGACGCAAATTTTTCCTATTGTATGGTATTTTTAGTAAAGATAGTTTAGAGTCTAGTTTTACAATGGCAATAATATTTTGTTTATATGCATAGGTCTCGAAGATGGCTTGAACTTTGTGGACGTCAGGATTTACTACTAAAACCAAATTTTACTGGAATTAAAGCCTATAATTCTTACATGGTATGCAGTGATCATTTTGATAACATGGAATACAACAATCCAATAGAAAGGACAAGTTTATTACCTACTGCAGAACCAAGACCGTTTCGTGATATTGGACCTTCCTTTAATGGTAAGTCTGCATGTGTTAATGTACAAATCTGCTAAGATAGGGTTTTTAATTTTTTATTTTATTTTTTACATATTTTACGTTATATTTTACGTTATATTTTAAGTTACCATTAAAAAGATAATATTGCATTATTTTGCAGTATGTTCTAGTTAATTATTTTGCAGTATGTTCTAGTTAATTTTTGAATATATTTTTTGAATTTTAAATATATATATACCGTATGATCGAAAAAAACAGCGTCTTGGCTTGGAAATGAACATCGATGCCATTCCCTATATAATTTTCCATATAAAATGACAGCGACCTTCATTTCTTAGCCATCGCTGACGCCGTTTTTTTCTCGATCATATTGTATTTACTTTAACAACTTATAAAGTAAAAAACCTGTATTTAATTACTATTTGTAGGTAGCAATATTTAATAACAATTTATTTCAAATATAATTTCGAAAATGAAATTTTCTTTTAGCTGAAAATATTGTATACACACTCACGCATATAATGTTGCATAAAAATATAAAACTTCCTAAGTCATTCTAATTCCCAATATAATTTTATATATAATTTAATAATTATCTCCATTTTCAATCTCTGATGCTATTTTTCGATTGTATTGTACTGTATCATCGAAAAAAAACGGCATCCAGTTGGCTTGAACATGACGATCAATGACATTTCCCAAATTATTTTACAATCTCTGTCATGCTCTCTGTATTTCTGGCACCGTTTTTCTTTTCGATAATATTGTACAATATGATCAAAAAAAAACGGCGTCACAGATGGCTGGGAAATGAAGATCGCTGTGATTTTGTATCTAAAATTATATGGAGACTAGTTGAAGCCTGGCGCATCCGCCACGACATCAAGAAAAAAAAGTACTTTTTATTTTTAATTAAATGAAAAACAAAAAATCAGGCGACGACAGTTTTTAGAAGAGCCAATTAGCTACCTTTAGTAAAAAAAGCAATTTTCTAGAGCAAGTAATTACTTCAGTAGAGACGACACAGATAAACATTAGCATTTTATATATGTAGATGTCATCGATCGTCATCTTTAAGGCAACGCTGTTTTTCTTTACCGTTACATATTTTTGGAATTCCCTTATGAACAAAAAATATAGTTCTATTCTTACTAGTTTTTATATGGTTTTCTGGGATGCGGAGACTTATCAAGAGTCAAGAATAAACATTTCTGAGTAATTGATTTCCTAAGTTTTTTCGCACATAATGTCCAATCATGAACATACTGTATACTGTACAAAAATAAATTGTTGTTCGAATTTAAGTGAAAAAAAATATTTTTACTTTCTAAAACATTCTTCTATAACTGAGAATTAAAATTCTATGTTACTTAATTACTTATATTATGTAATTTTAAAATGGTGATCTAACTAGTTATATTAAAATTAATAACTTATTATTATTTTACAGAAACAGAAGCAAATAATGCGTCGCTTCCAACAGAGGATGTTTTATTTCAAGAAAACCTAAATAGAATGGAACCTGTTCAACTTTTAAGTATTCACCCTTCCACAAGTGCTTTCAGTAGTCCACCCACGGAAGAAAATGTTGAAGCCTCAACTAGCAGATCAGATTTGCTGTCTACAGCACAAACCCAAACACCTACAACTTTAACTTCTACTACACCACGGAAACAGACTTTGAGAGATCAGTTAAAAAAGTGTCAAAGTGAAAACGTACATTTAAGGGCAGAATTAGAGGAGGCTCTAAATAAACTTAATAATCCATCTGATGAGGATTTTAAGAAATTATGCGATAAATTTTTACAACCTAATTTATCTAATTTTGTAAAATGTCAGTTTGAACAATCTAAGAGGTCTAGCCATGGTAGGAGATATTCTATAGATTTAAAAAAATTTTCCCTATCATTATATTTTTTCGGACCAAAATGTTATAGACTTTTACAGGAGACATTTTGTTTGCCTTCCTACAGATCATTGTGTAGGTTCATAGAAAATATAGAATTTTCCCCTGGAATTAACAAAACTCTTTTTGATCTATTACAATTAAAAGTTAATCAATTTGAAGAACTAGATCGCGTTTGTGCTATATGTATAGATGAAATGTCTTTAAAAACGAACGTTTTTTATAATTTTAGTAAAGACATAATCATTGGGTTGGAAGATAATGGGTCAATTCGTAGAAATAAGCCTGCTTCATCAGCTACAGTCATTATGGCGAAAGGTCTGAAATCTTCATGGAAGCAGCCTTTAGCCTACATATTATCTTCTACTACATATAGTGCTTATGATATCAAATCTTTATTAAATGATATAATATTATCTTTAACAAAAGTAGGTCTGGATGTTGTCTGTTTAATTTCAGATATGGGGTCAAATTGTATTGAATTATCAAAAATTTTGGGAGTAACACCTGATAATACAGAATTTTCGTTAGGAGGCAAACATTTATTTTACTATTTTGACCCTCCTCATATGATAAAAGCCCTTAGAAACAATTTGTTACAAAATGATTTTATATGGGATAACAAAACCGCTTCATGGGGTGATATAAGATCATTTTTTGAGAAAGATTCTAAAAATTTAAATAAAATGGCACCCAAATTAACCACCTCTCACATAAATCCCACAAATTTTGAGAAAATGAGGGTGAAATTAGCTGTTCAAGTCTTTAGTAACACTGTTTCTGCTGCTTTAGAAACTTATGTAAATTTGGGAGCTTTGCCACCTACAGCTGTTGGTACATATACCATAGTATCTATTTTCAACAAATTGTTCGATATTTTTAATTCATCAAGTTTAAATCCTACAAATACATTTAGAAATGCCTTTTCGGGTAAAGATTATCAGTTAAAATTTCTCTCAGATACTTTGGAATTTTTAAATAAATTAGTTGTATATAACAATATTAAAAAAAAAAAAGTAGCCGTGAAATTTATAAATTGTTGGAAGATTTCCATAAAATCGCTGTTATCACTGTGGGTAAAACTTAACTCGAGTGGGTTTCAACTTCTGTTAACCAGACGGCTAAATCAAGACTGCCTAGAAAATTTTTTTGGTGCCGTAAGACAGCAACATGGCAATGCAGTTAATCCGACCCCAGTGCAATTTGTGCGTGCATTTAAAAAATTATTTGTCACAGATTTTGTCCACACAGATAATATGAATTGTTCGGAAGATGTCAATAAATTATTAACTGAATTAAAAGACTTTGTGCCAACATCTACCACTCAAATTGTAACAGAAGACCCGTCTAATCCTGGTTTTCATGTGGAATCCTACAGTTACCTTGAATTGGCCTTTCCCGAACAAAATTCCTTTAAATATGTGTGTGGTTTTTTAATAAAAAAATGTTTAAAACTTCACAGTTGTCCAACTTGTGATGCATTTGCGACGGAAAATAACAACCTAGACCAATCAAATATGTTTATTCATTTTAAGGCCCATGACACAACATCAACTTTTGGTAGTTTAAAAACCCCTCATGAGTCTTTTTACCATTTTATTTATAAACTAGAAAAACTTTTTGTCGAAAATATTGAAAACTGCATAATAGACTGTCCAGGCAATTATCTATTACATATTTTTCAAACCATTGAATATAAACACCCATGTTCAAATTTCCCGCACATTTATCTTTTAAAATTGTATACTAGATTAAGAATATACTACCTATTAAAAAGCAGCAATGCTACTTTTAAATCCATGCCTAGAGTTAATCGAAAGATTAACATTTTAATGAATTTATAATTACAATTTTAAGTTTTATTACAATTGTAACAAAGTTACAATCTTCTAACTTTGTTACAATTGTAACTTGATTTATGTTAGTTTATTAGTTATATTATTTTTTTATGATATTTATATTTATTTCTACTAATTTAACTTATATATTATGTTTATTTTTTAATACCATGTTTTATTGTGTTAGTTTAAATAAAACTTAATGATTATGATTTTATAGTTTAATTAAAAAAAATAGACTGCAAATTTATATTTTTGAACTTATACATAAATTTGTTTTCTAATAACATATTAACTTTTTTTTTAAATAAAAGACTTCTATAAAACTGAGACATTTATTGTTGTAATATTTGCAAATTATGTGATATTTATAAAAATACACTGGTGCATATTGATTGAGTCTTCTTTTTTTGATCCTTGTTTTAGTTACTTAACAAGAAACAACCTTCGTTAACAAAAATACGTAACTTATATTTTGGTGATAAAAATAGACAAAACTATAAATTTTATAGTATAGATACCCTCAGCTCTTTACTAATTTAATTGGATTTTGATGTTCTGCATGTCCTACAAATAATATTTTTACTTTCATTAATAATAACAAAACATTCATATTCATATTGGTGATACCTGTATATGGAACAACTTCTTATACAAAATTTCTCCTTAGCTTAATATGCACTCACTTTTAAATGTATTTCTTTCACTAGAAAATATTCCGTTTTCGATATTTCCGATATTTCCTAGAAATATATTGTTTTGCCATTTCAACAGTGGAAATCATAAGAATTCAAACATATCTGCAAAATAATTTCTTAGAAAATACTAGTTTGTATATTTATGTTAAGAATCTGTTACCTTTTAATGAATTTGTTATTTCACATTAGATAAATACTTGATAAATATAGACACTTTTCTGCAAATACTAATTTAAACAAAGTCTGTAAACAATTTGCTGTTTTTATTTTCACCTTCCAACAATAGAAACTGTTCTTAGCATTTTAAATGGTAACTAACCCAATCGAATCACACTATGCTCAGCAATTAAAAATTTCATTCTTTATTTAAATAAAAAATACAATAAAATATCAAATAAACACTACAAACTTCTGCAAAAATGTAGGTTAAAAACTCCCTGACCTACTAACCTAGTTCAACCTTGTCAAGTATTTGCAATGTTGCCATGTTTTACACAATAACTAAAAATATAGGTATTATATCAAAAATGTACACAAAAAAATATTAGAAATATTGGATTAAATATTCTTCATAATAAGTAATACCTAAGTAATATTAAAATATTTAAAATATTTATCATATTCCATCAAGAATATACGTTCATTATATATAGTGTGCATAATTTATAATGAAATTTTGTTCAATTAGAATAAGTATGGCAATATCTGAAATCTCCTCGAAGTCGCACTTTAAAGGGACGAGGTCACTGAGAGCCGAAGCCAAAAACGTTTCATCTTTTGCCGGCTGTCCTGTCTTTGTAGTCTTTGACCACACCATGACGTCATATATACAAGGGTATAGGAAATCTCGGCGCAGCGGCGGCAGTCGGCCAGCGCGCGCAAAACCATTACATCGCTAATTGTTTATTGATATATCTTTATTAGTTTAAAAAGCAAAAATATGGGGTTTGCTTTGATACCTTTGTCAAGACATAAGCGAAACTTTTAAATTGTTTCTTTTTTCATTTAGACCTTCGTTTTTCGTTAAATGAAAGTTATATTAAAAAGTCTATTTTAAACCAAATTTTCGCATGATTGAAATGAGTTATTCATGTTTAAAGTTTTTTGGTCATAAGCGCTAATGGAAATGTTTTTTGTAAATAATTATAAAAAATTACTCCCTACGAAGACTTTATTGTGTACTGGACCAAAAATAAGTATTTGTTTTCTCTATACGGTAATATTAATATATCGATTTTTGATGATAGTGCCCTTTACCCGGTCTAATTTTTGTACTACTTTCGGAATAAGGATCCCCATATCATGTACTGTACTTCCATCCCTGAAAAAATTCAGCTTGTGACACCGAAGTGAGACGTAAAAGTCAAAATAAGCTTTAATCTACCTACATCATAGGTAGGTGTAGGTACTCTAGGCATGGTACAAAGAATACAAGGTATGATATTGCGCAGGTTGGTCGCTACGTCACAGGTGATAACAGGCGCTATTGGTCAGCACGCTCCGCGCGCCAGTTCAAATCGTCAAGATATTGTTATAAACCTGTTTTTTGTTTATATACCGTCACTGAATTATCGCTAAGCAGTTACTGTGGAGCAGTGCGTAAGGAGTCGGGCTAGGAAGCGAGAGACCGGAGTTCGAATCTCGGCCGGGACATAACTTTTTTTTTATTTTAAATACTGTTGTATTCTATAGTCTATTTTTGTAGTATAAAAAAGAACTATTTATTCTGTTATTTTTTTAATCTCCGGTATTAATATAAATTGATTGTTGGTACAATACCTCATTTAATATAAAATAATATTCTACTTTTTGAAATGTATCGGGCCCTAGTTGTACCTAAAAAAGTAATATATTTTTAATGATATACCATATTGTAAACTATTTAATATTTCAGTCACTTAAAAGTTAATTTGCATTGAATAATTGCCTACCATTAAAGGAAATTTGAGCTATATAATCCTTGATGGGCATATTCTGGGTATGCAAATACTTCCTCTAAATTTTGGGTTTCGTTCAACCGATTTATTCTCAAACCAAACCAAACCAAAACATCTACATATAAAAAGAAGCACAGGTCACTAATTATAATAAACTTCACCCTTGGAATTACTTCCACTAATTATAATAAACTTCACCCTTGGAATTACTTCTATCACAATTACAGTACATTCATCTGCATTGGCATTTTCTACTTTTCGATGGGAAACAATAAAATTCCCAACATTTTTTAAATGATGTAACAATTCCTCTTGTGGTTACTTTTCCATATATATCCTCATCTCTGTCCTCATGTGAAATCAGAGGCAATGAACATGAAAATTATTTACCATAAACATCGCAAACTAAAAACCTAATAAACAATTTTATAGGTACCGAATATAGAAATAAATTTAGTATTCTTACCTATTATGGTCCAAAGTCCAAATCCATGTTAATAGATAATTATTATTTTAAATATATTTTTTTGGAACTGCTGGTTTTAGTAATTATTAAATTAAACATTAAACGAACTAAAAGTCTTAAAAAATAAACAATTCTTAACCATAACCCCCAAAAATGCAGATCTCCTGTCAACTTTCTTTATTTTTTATTTATTCCTCATTTTCCTAGTGACGTCACAGGTGGTATGCGCGAACTGAACGAAATTGGAGCCGCTATCGATCATACCTTATATTCTTTGTACCATGTACTCTAGGTATATTCTACCTAGACAGTAGCTGACGGTAGTAATTAATTTGTTATCCGATAAGTAGTTGTCATTATATAAATTTAATCATCTTATACCTCCTATAACGGTAGGTTTTGGATTTTTTCCTGATTGATTTGTTAAACAAAAATATACTGGGCATATAAATGTCTAACACAATACATGTATTGAATGTACTTATTTTAACCAATGCATTGTTTTGTTTTTTTAATCTAACAAATAAGAAATGTTTTATAGTTTTTATTATAAAAAAACAGTGATTATACAATTTATTTGCACCCCTTACACTGTTTTCTGTAAAGGGTGTAACCAGGAGTATATTTCGTAACCTCTTACGATATAAGAGGGCACAAAGTGTTTTATTACTTAGTGCTTAGATTAAAATTTAATAATATATTTGTACATAAAATAAAATAGACTAGAAAGTCAATTAATTAATATTGACGTAATTACTAAATAATTACAAGATTTTTTTTCTAATTATTTTAGTGTATTTTTAGTCACCTAATTATAAAGGAGAGATATCCAACCATTGCATTATTTTACTTCCACAAATAAATGTTTATGGTTTTTTACTATAAAACAAGAATTAATTTATTATACACCCCATAACCCAAACACTCCAAGGAGGATATTCGTGACCCCTTATTTAAAGTTGACAAGCTTTATTAGTCAATGTTTTAATTACCCAGCGTCTTTAATAAAAATCTAATATAATTTTTCATAGAAATGATCTGACATAAAAAGCAAATTTTATCTAAAAACTTTTTGATTATCTACAAGGAGTAAACCGCTGACAAATTTCTGTATACTAATGCCAAAGTAATGCCAAAAATACATTCTCATATAATGCCCCACTAATGCCAAGCTGATTCCAATATAATACCACTACTACCACGAATAATATGTAACACATTTGTTTAACGAATTAACCTGTAACAATAGTGGTAGGTACGTGCACAGATTTTTTTCTAGGTAACTTAAAAGTCGTTAAAAAGTCTAATTATATTTAAAGAAGATATAATTCCAACTAATTGCATTATAAGGCCACTAATGCACAAGTAATACCATTAAAATTTTAGCGTTTTTTAATTTGTGTAACATATTTCTTTAAAAAATTAACCTGTAACAATTGTGGTAGTACGCGCACAGATTTTTTGCTAGGTAACTTATTAAGTCGTTAAACAGGCCTATAAAAGCTATAACAACATAGGTAACTAATATTTATAATTTCATCTTCGAGTTTTAATCTCAAATAATAAATGTTTTTACTGGTGCATTTCTGAAGTGTTCATTATTACAAGTAGATATTCTTCAAGTTATGTGAAGTAATAAGTAATGTTTCCGGTGAGACCGGGTATATGTCACCGATTCTGGTTAGTATAAAGACTTTTTCTATAGAAAGAGTTTTTCTATATTTTCTTTCAAAATAAGACTAATTTCTTCTTATTCTTTTAAATATTACAGTGTTTCTTTTTTCTAACATGTTATACTTAATTTTCGCTTAAAACTAAAAAATCACAAATGGAGGAAAACATACGTTATTGAATAAAAATTATACAAATCACTTTACTATAACAAAAAAGTAAAAACATGTCATGGCGGAAGATATTCAGGTGGCATTTCACATATTTATCTATTACAATCGAGATTAAAACAATAAACTTGCGTAACATGTTATACATGAGATAGAAAGTTTCAGAATCGATTAATAACGCAATACGCTACGCAGTCAACTTGTTCCTATACGCGGATGAGCGTCTTCAAGACTCTTCCATCGGCCAGGGTCACGACGCCGCGCGCCGCCGAAGAGGAATCGGCCTACGTTTGGCTAAACAGGCTGGACACGGTGGACTACGATATTGGCGAGTCTGAATATTAGCGAGTCTGAATATTTATAAAAATTTGCAAAGTAAAATATGTTGGAAAACTAATTAATCCATACATATATAAAAGCTCAAAGGGTTTTTTTGTTGCATTCATCCCGCCGAAACCGCTTCACCAATCTTGATAATTCTTTTTTTTAAATGAAAGGTATATATGTGTAGATTTGTTATGAAGTATTTTTATAGTACTTAATGGCTATTTCTTTGTGTAAAACGACTAAATACTAAAACATACCTGAAAAACACCTACACACAATACCTCCAGAAATAAATTATTTGTCATTGTCAGTGGTGTGTCAGTTAGATTATATATATTTTTTTAAGTTTTTAGATATTTTAGGAGTGAGTTCATACCGCCAGCTATAGATACATAAATATTAGCACAAAGGTTCGTATAAACGACATTAGTGAATTAGCTACACAAAGCGATTTTAGGAAATTCATCCTCTTAGAGAGTAAAATTATGTCGGAACAGTTTGTTGTATGAAAATTCCTTACTATTTGATCTAGAAGAATGAAATCCTACAAAAAAAATTAGAAGAAATTTTTGAAATTCATCAACCAAATGGGTAAAGTTAGTAAAATTTATATATAAACTTGGTGACCTCTGGATTATACACATAAAAAATTGGCACAAAGATAAAGCGAATTTATGAAATTTATACACTTAGGGAGTAGAATAGGGAATGAAAGTTTGCTGTACGAAAATGCAATACTATAACATTATAAACCAGACAGTATAAAATTTTATACAAGGGTTTATTTAGTGACATCATAACGAGATATATCTTCCTTAATTATCCTTCAAAGAATAAAAAATAACCTATAAAGAGAGTATTAGTGCTCTTAATAAATAATAAAAAGATGAAAAATAAAAAACATCTATGCTCACTAGCTCTCTATAAAGAAGTAAAAAATCATTTAAATCAATGCATGTGTAGGTGTAACGCGAACGTAGTGGAGGTGTAACGCGAATGTAGTCGCGGGAATAAGCTAGTAATTTATTAAATTATTTTATTTAACTGATTAATTTTCACTGAAAAGGATTTTTTGTAATTCGCCACTATATTAGTTAAAAACTAAGAAACTCATATCAAATTTAAGTTTTGCGATTTTGACTTATACTTTTTACAAAATCTGAACATATTTTTAAAAAGAAAAAAAAGCTTTTGATAATATTTGTGTAGATTGACTACGAGAAGTTGTATAACATAAATT